AGAAACTGTACCAATGTGATTCTTCATCTATTTGGCAGCAAGCATGACAAGCCAACCCTCCGAAGAAAGTATTAGGAATGTTCTAGACAGTGACCCTCAAAGTGAGAGGATCCTGGACTGGCACTAGAAGCACTGCCTGGAACCTTTTTAGGCAGACATGTTCCCTCATCCATAGTAGTCTTAATGAATGAGACACTCCAGGATCTAGCTAGTCGATTTAATAGATCTTCCAGGTTGTTCATTTGCTGGCTCAAATGTGAGAACCACTTCTGAGCACAGACAAATTCAGACTATGGACTCAGGCAACATGATATCAAATCCAACCATGACCACATATGTTGATAAAGCCACCCGATCCCAGATCTACTATAAGATGAGGACAAGGATGTCCAGCTCAAAAGCTAGCGAAACAGCAGTGCCAGACTCCTGAGGGGTAGTAGTGCTTGTAAACTTTTGGTGCTGCTATTGACCCTAAGATGCCATGTGAATTATTTTAGGTGAACTGGAGAAAGGACTGGACCTCAACACTGGCACCTGTGAGATACTGTCAGTGAATACTCCCTCAGATGCCTATGGTCTTAGAACTCCTCCTTGGGGGAAGAGCACAGGGGAGTTCTGACATTCTGCAGCTGCCAACCCCTGGGGATAAGAAATTATTTGTGATGAGGGTGCAAAAGATGCCATTTGGTATTAAAAACAGAATACTGCTGGTGTAAGAGTAATTATACATAATGCATAAGTTCTTTTCACAAATGTAAGTCATTTATTTTAGTTATTAGTTCATTGAATCCTTGCAAAAACCCATATGGTTCTAGTATTATTATATTTGCCAAGTCACAGACGAAAAAAGCCATGATTTCAGAGATGAAGTCATGATGAAGTCATGATCCTTGGCAAAACAGCTGCTAAGTGGCTGAGCTAAGGTCTGGACCCAATAAACCAGCACCTAAATGCCTCCCACTTAGCCTTGCCTGATACTGTCTAGCAATCCAACATTAACCTCACCCATTTAGGGTCTCAACCTCTCATTTGAAGTGCTTGGCCTTGAGATTTAGCAAGGATCTGTGTGTTAGATGAAGGGAGGGGGAAAACTGATGGCTTCTCCTGTTCCATTTCAGCCCTGGACTCTGAGACTCTTAAAAAACCAAATCTCTTCCTAGGTGCCATTCAGCACCACAGACAGTTCCTAAAGCACTCTTGGTGATTTCAGTCTTTGCACTCAGCCTCCAAGGATATGTGAAGGCATACAAACAAAGACACTAACTTCCCCCTAAATCCTTTCATTTTTGTCAAAGCAGGAGAAACTCAGCCATAGTCCCCCAACTCAATAACCACATTATTCACATTAACACGGAAGCACAAGCAAGGAGCAAGGAGCAAGGAACGGATGACACCAACGAGCAAAAGTTCAAAGTTGTATATGCATAAACACAAATTTCATTTCTAGCTTCCTACTCAAAAGCTCTATAATGAAATTGTTATATAAAACAAGCTGATTTACATACAGAACAGTTTTGAGGGTCAAGAACTCCTAGATACAGCATTTCTTTCAGAAAAGGACAGAATGACTGTGCATGTATCAGAGACCACCCAGCCTCCGAACAGTCACCGACTTGCTTGATGATCTTGGACACAATTCAGCCTTCTTCAGAATGTTTGAAAACTAAAGACTGGATTGTGTTAAAAGGCTAATCAAGGGCTGATGTCATGAGTTTGACCATCACATTCTACCGTGTCATCAGACAAAGTCCAATCCACACTCTAGACAAAACCATCACCATTGGTCAACTGACCTGCATAACTGTCATAGCTAACAACACCTTCTGCTTCCAGAAAGAAACAGAAAATTAAAGGTATACCATTATTCCTTGCTACATCCTATGATTCTCCCTTCCCAGACACCCCTTGTCTCCACCCAAATGGAGAACTTAGAAACAACAGTAAACTGTTTCAAACAATCTAGCATGCTGCAGATCCAAGGCCAAGACATGAGCAGATTCCCTGTCTGGTGAGGTTCACCTATTGGTTCCTGGACGAGTTTCTTGTTAGGCATGTATATGACAGAGGGGTAAGAGGGTCTCCCTTGGAGCCCTCTCATAAGGACACTGATTCTACTCATAAAGTTTCTAATCTTACAACTTTATCACATTTCAAATACCCAACTTCTAATACTATTGCTGGCAGATGGATATTTGGAAGTGTAAGGTTTTGAGTTTGAGGAAGCACATATTCAAATATAATGTCTCTGGATGATTTTAGAAACTCATCTCTGGCCACTGTTCTAGAAGGGAGGTACCCGGATCATCCACACATGGCAGGGCTCTGTTTTCATGTCCCACCCCACTCTGCAGTCTTTCTTCCCTCATGAACTCCTCTCATTTTGCAGTTTCAAAGGGGGCCTGCTTCTACAAGACTCTGGGGGTAACTGCATCAGGCCAAAAGGGCCCATTCTTTTATGATGTGAATGGCTCAAGGTGGGTATGCCTTGTGGGGATCAGAGAAGTGACAGTCTGAGTACAGACCTACACATCACGAGTATGGAGCCCTCTAATCACAGCAGGGGCAAGCGAGAATGTCCTTTTAGATATTGGCTGTCCCATTTAGTCACACAGAGATTACAGTGACAGTCTGAGTTTGAGGGTGAGAGTTGGATCGTATGTACATGCACACACACTTCCATGATGGAATTCAGGGCCTCAGGCACACTAGGAAAGTTAACTGATATATATATATATATATATATATATATATCCGATATATATTTTTTGAACAGAGTCTGGCTAAGTTACTCAGGTTGGCTTTGAACCTGCCGTACTCCTAACTTAGCTTTCCAAGTAGCTGTGATTACTTGCTTTCATGCCTGAGACTGATTTGTGATATTTCTTTTTCCCTAAACACCTATCCTGGCCTCTGCCCACTCCCCTTTACTCATAGGGGCAGGCACCTCTTCCCACCCTCCATAACTTGGGTTACATATATTTCACAGAATGTATTCAAAGGTGACAAAATACTCTATTTCTGACCATTCTTTATAATCCTAAGCATGATTTTGCAGTGTAGGACTTGATTGTGTTATCGTATATATAGCCACATTTTCATGCTATTGCCCCCCCACATCATCATCTGTTTCTAACTGCATATGTAAACTATTCACACATATTTCTCTTATAGTCTGCGTGGGTTGGGTATGTAAGCGTGCATTTCATGATGTTTCTTAGAGTCAACCCAGAAGGGAAAGTGTTAAAGATGGGCTCTCCCTGAACACCTCTTCCATATTTTCATAGACCAGAACTGTATGACATAATCAGCCTATTCAAGGAGCTGCCGTGACTCAGTCCAGGACACAGAAGCACAGGATATGTCCCCACAAGAGCCAGTGTTCCAATAACGTCAGTGACACATCACATGTGTTTGCCATGAAGCCTTGAGGAAACCACTCAAGGGCAATTGCGTCAGTTTGAACACATTAGTAATAAACACAGAGTCACTATTAATGGGGAAGCCAGTATTTGACTCCTCTACTTCACTCTCCCTGTGTCTCCTGACATTCTCTGTCTGTTGTTTGAATCTGAACCTACACCTGTCTGAATGCTGTCTAGTGAATCTGTCTGTGTCGGTGTGTGTCGGTGTGTGTCACTAACAAAGGGCTTTGCTTTTCCCAGAAAGCATTACTGGGGTAAGAATGGTATACTGTACGGAAACCTTAAAGAGTTTTCCAAGGGATGAAGTTACTAACCCCAACTGGCCCCAGGGGGCCCAGATAACAAATTAGTGCTATTAGCAATGTCTGTATGCTGCATTTTAACACTATGGATATTCATTTCATACAGTTTATTTCTATGTATTTGCTGTTTACCACATTTATTACCATAGCATGCACACACAAATGAACTCCTCTGATTCAGGAACACAGAGAGAAAGGTGTAGCTAATTTAAGATAACAGCTATGTCTTAGTTTATGTTGTAAAAATTGATCATCTGGGAAATCCAAGGCAAGTAGAGTAGGCTGTTACACTGTCCTCTTAAAGTCACGTTAAACAAACACATGATTGCACATTAGGATAGCAATCTTAAGTGATCTCAAGGTGTATACATCAGGCTATGAGGTCCAGCAAAAAGTTCCAGGTCCTTAGAATGTAAAAGATATTTTCAGAATAATGGAAATGTGTTGCCACAGGCAATGACTGAAGTGGAATGCTTAGTGGCTCTTTGCTTTCTTCTGTTTTTATTGACTACCATCCTGAGTGTTTCCTTGGAGAGTAAGTTGCATACTTCCCAAGGTCTTCTGTGCTGTGGTTGTTATTTAGAAGGGAAACAAGATACAACTTACATAGCTGGGAACAAATCAGCCCTGCCACACACTCTCTTCCAATCCTGTCTGTCCAGTCACATCATACCAGCTCTGCTCCTCATCTGCTCCCCATTACGTCATTTTTTGACTCATCCCCAAATTTCTCTGGACGGTCCCCTCTCAGATCTATCTTCTTCTTGCTAGTTGAGCATCCTTTTCACTGGTTCCCTATCACAGTACATGAAACCTAAACAGGCTTTGATATCTGATATCCGACCTGGTGGTCCTCAGGTAGTGTCTCTGGCTGCATCTCCATTCTGCTGAGCATCACTAGTCACACTTTACCCTGAGCACAGTAAGCCAGTTTCATCTGTGCAAGGCCTCCTCCTGCTCCTCCCTTCACTAGGGTGTCCTGCCCAGACCTCTACTTCTCAAGCACTGCTCCGATGGCCTGTTCTCCAGGAGACTGCTCTATGGGCCCTTAAGACATTCACAGTCCCTGCTTTTCTCTTCTCTCAGCTCTATTGCCTGTCTCCACCTGCTATCCCTTCCTGCTGTGTCTGCATTTGCTCCTACCACCCAACTCAGAAGCCAGGCCTGCAGCAAGGGGCCTTCTCCCTGACTCAAATCCACAGAAGTTAACATAGCTATACACACCTCCCACAGATCCACCCTGAACCCTGGAGAAAACCAATAAATGGAGGCTTACCTTCTCACCCTTTTCTCCTTGGATGAAGGGTCCTCTCCCCTAGAGAAGGAAATCAGAAGACACAGGTCCACTGAGGGGGGCAGCTATGTAGTGTGGCATCACCCCAAGAGTCAAGCAATTGGATACTATCTCATGAACTATGGTTGGGCACCTCTGAAAGAGGTGGAGCTGTTATTGCGGAATGTGGATTCTCATGAGTGTTTTCTCATTTAATTTTCCAATAATGTAACATTATAGAAACAAACTGTTCTTTCCATAACAGCCTTATTAGAATATAATTCTCATACTATATAATTCACCCACTTAAAGCATCTAATTAGTAATTTTAATTTCTTTAAAGTTATACAAAAATGTTCACAATCCATTTCAGAACATCTTCACTATTTGCAAAAAGGCCAAACCCACTAGCAGCTGCTCCCCATTTCCCATCCCTAGCCCTAGACAAACATTAATCTGTTTTCTATTCTATTCTAGAATAGAAATGAATTCTATTGTATTTCTATTATATTATATATATATATATTATATATATCCATATATCATACTCAGCAGTCTTCTAAAGCTTCATCCATGTTGTACCCCACAGCACAACTTTCTTTGTTGTAGACCAATGGGAATGCAGAGACCCAGGACACTTCATTTACTCATGGCCAGTGGGTCACTGCTACTTTATTACTAAGAGAACAGCACTCTGAATGTGTGTACATGTTTTTGTGTGAATATATGTGATGTATGATTTCCCTCTGTATGCTGTGATTACCATTAATGAATAAAGAGACTGCTTTAGACATATAGCAGGGCAGAACGTAGGTAGGTGGGGAAAACTAAACTGAATGCTGGGGAAAAGAAAGGCAGAGTCAGAGAGAAGCCATAGAGCCCCATAGAGACAGATGTTGGAACTTTTCCCAGTAAGCCACAGTCTCGTGGTGATACACAGATTAATATAAATGGGTTAAATTAATATGTAAGAGTTAGCCAATAAGAAGCTAGAGCTAATGGGCCAACAATGATTTAATTAATACAGTTTTTGTGTGATTATTTAGGGAGTTTGGGAAGCTGGGAAATGAACAAGCAGCCTCCTTCCTACACACATGCTTGTGTTTCTTCAGAAAGGGATTGTATTACATGGTAACTCCCTTTGTAGGCTTTCAAGAAACACAAGACTGATTGCCCGGAAGCTGCACATTTCCTCAGCAGGAAGACTCCCATTTTGCTACATTGCTGATTCTTCTGTCTTTCACTGGGAGTGAAGTACGCAAGGCAGCAGTCATTGCTGTGAAGTTGCTGATCTTTCCTTTGAAATCCATCAGTTGTATGTCCCGCCTCTTGAGGCTCTGTAGTTGGTTATTATGTTAATTGTTGTGTATCTTGGAGAAACCTTAAAGGACTGACTCTTCTATCCTAAAGTATCTCTTTTTATGAACTGTTCTATCCTAAAGTCCATTGTGTCTGATAATTGTATGATCGTTCCCATTTTTGTTTTCTAATTTCAAAATGTGTATTTTCAAAACTCCTTCCTCATTATGTGTGTGTATTTGTTCATGTGTGCCAGTGTGTGTGTGATATTTGTGTATGTGTGTCTGTGCGTGTGAGTGTACATGCATGTACACTTGTTGGGGATGGGACTCAGGGCCTTGTGTCTGCTAGACAAGAGTTCTACTACTGAACCACACTCCCAGTCTCCTACTTGTATTCTTGAAGCTCCCCTAGACAGGGTTGTAATCAGACATTTCTATACCTTGTCTGAAAATCTGTTTTTTTAATACACTTGTTAATAATGCAATTATTGACAAGAGTAGATTTATAGACATTAGAAGGAGCATGTGAGATGCCCAGGGTGAAGGAGCCACTATTAAATGGTCAGTTTCAGGCATCACAGGGGTACCACTTTAGAAGAGCAGAATTCTGGGGAAAGAGAGAATGAAGTACTATGGCTTTGTTTAACAGGTAGCACTTCCTGGTGAAAAAGAGAGGTGCTTTCTCTCATGGCTTGGATGCACTCAGTGCCTGTATTCACCAGGCCTTTGACCCACACTTGCTAACCAACATGACCAGACTTGGATGCATGGGGGAGCCCTGGACCTCACATACTTGCCACATGCTCTCTCAAAGTAGAAAAGTAGCATCTTACTTACAGTATCTCCTTTTTCTCCCTTGGGCCCTGGAACACCCATCAGTCCAATGGGTCCTGGATCACCCTGAAGGGTTAGAAGCAAAATGAACGTCAGGTCAGATCCTCCCAACCGCTCTTCCGAATTCTGTACTCACAGGTTGTCCACAGCCAACCTTGCCCTACTTCCCCAGAACTGATGTTATCCTGGGAGACTGTATCATGGGTCACCTGCCCCAACTTGGAAGGTAAATAAGAACCAAAGTCACACTCCCTCACATTCCTTGAATTTATTCACAAATCCCTGGGCCCTGCCAGACCTGGGCATTTGAGTACAGAGACTTTGTGTGAATGTTGAGACAAACCTTTATCATGATGTCAACCTGGTGCTGAGAAGGTGTGTACTACTACCATGATATGGAAAACAGACAGAAAACAGTGAGAACGAGAGACAGAAAGGCCAAGGTTGGAAGGAGGAGGGTAGTATGGAAAGGACTGTTTCGATGCGATGCGATGCGATGATAGAGCGCTTCACCCAGAAGACAGAAGCAAGAGAAGAGAAGACATGCAGCGGCCTCTTTCTCTACCATCACCCTCAGCCCCAGACAAGGTATTAGTTGTGCAAAAGTAAAGACTTCCCACGCTGCCATGTAGTTGGTACCTCCAACCATCAATGTTCAAAGACCGAAGCACTGATGGAGAAGGCAGCATGCTGGAGAATGTGGGAGGGGGAGGAGGCTGCTTCTGACCAAAGATGGAGTCCTGTGCGCGAGCACCTGGCTTCGTGCAACTACCGAGTTTGCAATTTTTGTGCACAAGAAATGCATACAATTTATACAACTTAAATAACTCCTAAAGCCCAAGTCCTAAATGCTTCTTGAAACAATCAGCTTGCAAGGACTGATGCAGGATTAACTGCCTCTGGAGAGTAGAGCCTGTTGGAGCACATGGGCTGTGAACCTGAGCCTGGGCAACCCAGTCCTTCTTTCTGTAAACTTTTAGGCTAAGAAGTGCAGGTCTGGAAAGGTCAGAGTCTCATAGCTTGAACCTCATGCCACTTGTTCTTACTGTAGCATCTTAACTCGCTCCAAGGCAACTATGAGGCTGGTGGGACTGTGATCTAACACACCCCTGTCATGCTTCCACAGAGGTTAAAACAAAGGACACTATACCATGTAGGTACTGACCTTTTGACCAGGGAGTCCTACAGGGCCAGCAAAGCCCCGTTCACCCTGTAGGAAGAAAGACAAGAAGAAACAATAAAGGCGATATGTTAATTCTCTCCATCTCTCTTAAGGGCTAATTGCCTACTACTGGGCTTGAAATGTAGTCATATGCTCAGCCAGATAGGTCAGAGAGTTGAGCAGGAAACTACTGACTTCAGCTGAGAATCCGTTTCCCAATTGCAAACATGCATGGACAACTTTCACCACGACTTCCCATGCAGCCATAGAAGGATCAAAGCTATAAACACACCAGGGAACAGGAAGGGGAATAGTCTATGTTCTCATTTATACATGGGAACTAAAGATGCCACACACAGAGATCAGAGAGAAGAACAATGGTTCCAGGCTGAGAAGTCGGAGAATGGAGAAGGCACTGGTCAGGGGGGTCAGATTTAACTTAGATGGAGACAAACTATAGGTCTGTGAGGTGACTGATGTTCTCTTTAGCTTGACCCAGCATTCTGCATCCAAGAGGCACATTAGAGCATCAGTTTATACCTTATAGATAAATGATATAATTGATCAATAGACAACATAAATGAGCATAAACAAAGTCATTTTATGGGCTATTATTTTCTCAGAACATATAACTTATTGAGAAAGTAAATTATGATGCCTGCTACTATCAATTTGTATAATGGTTATTTACTAAAATACAAAGCATGACAGGTCTAAGGCAATTTCTAGAAACACGGCTGCATTCAGATTTTAAAATGTGTGAAAGATCTTGTTAGTGTGTTTACACACACTTTGTATGCTGTGGGCACCTCTAATATTGCCAAGCTGAGAACAAACACATGTTTCTTATGCTATAAATAAAGACACCACATACTACTGGCCCATTTCTGCCTGATTCCATCACTAATGATATTTTCACTCTTGTTCTAGTTTGCATCTCTGTTGCTGTAATAAACACTCTGACAAAAAAGCAACTTGGAGAGGAAAATGTTTATTTCTTATTCCACTTCCAGGTCACAATCCACCAATGTGAGAAGTCAAGGCAAGAACCCAAGCCAGGAACCTGAAGGCAATTACTGAAGAAGAGACCATGAAGAGATGCAGCTTGCTCTGTCCGGCTTACTTAGCCTGCGTTCTTTAAATATATACCTTTATCTATTTATTTTCATGAGTTTTTTGCCTATGTACTACGTGTGTACCTGGTACTATCAGAAGCCGGAAGGGGGCATCAGCCACCCTGGGACTGGAGTTACAGACGGTTGCAAGCCACCATAAGGATGCTGAGAGTCAAACCTTGGTTCTCTGGAAGACCAGGTAGTGCTCTTAACTGCTGAGCCACCTCTCCAGCCCTTTAGTTTGCTTTCTTATACAGGCCAGATCCAACTACCTAGGGATGATGTAGAGAGCTGGGCTCACCCACTTCAACCATAAATCAACATCAATCATCAATCAAGACATTACCCCACCCACATGCCCAAAGACCGATCTAACAGAGGCTGTTCCTCAATTGACGTTCTCCTTCCCAAGTGACAAGAAAGACTAAATGGTATAACTCTACTCCTGGGTGCTCATTTACTTCAGAGCAATCACAGATGTCCTCAGCGTGTGCACGCAGGAGCTCCTATAGTGTCCATCAGAATGTCTTGGACACTGTTCGCATTCATCACCATGACTGGTAACAGAGATGTAATCACGGACTCCAAAGGATGGCTGATATCACTTATTAATTGAAATGAAAGACTTGAACAGCTGGAAGCAAAGCACGTGTAACCAGAGCTCTGCCTTAGAAGAAGATTGTGATTTCCTGGGCCTCGTGCTAAGCTTTTAATAGACACACAGATGCAGGAGGCAGGGGGCCACACCAGCTTCACAGGTGGGCAGGTAGCTCCTCCACGTGGCCTGTCTTCCATGCAGAGTGAGTAGGTCTTCTTGTCCGTCCACTTGTTCCTGTGAAGATAGCTCCCTAGGATGATCCAGGTCTCAGAGTTTTCTCTCCCTAACCACACTAAGACCTGCAAGTGCCACATCCTGCTGGTCTTAAAATCTCACTGTGCATCATAGTGTGAAGGACAGAGCAGGTGTTGATCGTCTATGGCCAAAAGCTAGGACTAACATCTTGGAAAAAAAGCATAGGTTATCAGGTGATGGCACACAGAGTATGAGGCCGAGACTGCACAGACTGAGAAGCTCAATCGGGAGACCCTCATGCTGCAAAGGGAATGGGAGGATGTGTGCCTTTCTCCCTCACCCCCGTCTGTCCATCTTCCTATCCATCCATCTTTTCACACTTTATTCACCAATTCAACCATTGTCTAATAGTTGCATCTGTATCCAAAGGTGAAGCAGCCCCCAAACACAGACACTATTCAATCTCTGTCAACTGGAATTTAGGATTGTGCTCAAGAAAAAACAAGGAAATGTTATCAGCCCAGTGTGGCCATGGCTATATATACTGAAGCCTGGGGAGAGAAAAGGGACTTTTCTTAGAAAAGAATGTTGTGTACTATTATTTTAACTAGGCAAAGGTGCATTACATTTGTTGATACTGCAGAATATTACCTTAAGTATGGGAAGGTATGTTACATTTCTTTCTGATGCCTTTGTTAATGATGTCAAGATGTGCCTCAGTGAGTAGTGCTGCACTTGTTTAATTATGTGAAGACACATAGCATTTGCTTCACCTTGCCTGCCTAAGGCACATGATTGGCCTAATAAAAAGCTAAATGACCAATAAATAGGCAGGAGAGGGGTAGGCAGGACTGGCAAGCAGAGAAAATAAGTAGGAGGAGAAATCTAGGCTCAGGAGAGAGAAGAAGGAGATGAAAATAAGGGAGATAAAGAGAGACATGCTCAGGGTCAGAAGCCAGGCTGCCATCAGCTAGCCAGGCATGGGAAGTAGGAAAGTAAGGGAGGGAGGGAGGGAGGGAGGGAAGGAAAAGGAGAAACAGATTAAAATAAGAGCTAAGCTAACAGTGGGCATTCTTAACTAATAAGAAGTCTGCATGTCTTGATTTGGGAGCTAGTTGGTGGCCCAAAGGAAGAAGCCTGCTACCAAAGAAGGTCCTGGACAGTTATCAAATGGGGGTGAATGACAAGGAAAAGGGAAGTCTGGAGAGAAATCACAAGGCCAACATGCTCAGCAAAGGTTCACTGCTCATGCTTTAGAAGACGAGCAGGTGTCAGCCAGGGAAGGCTACTCAAGAAATGGAAAAGATGTGTCACGCAGAAGGTGCTGTATCCTCAAATGGCCAAAGATGAGATGAGTGTCCTTGCAAGAAACCTGCTTTTATTTGACCTGGGAACTATCAGGGAGAGATACTGAGTCATGAGATTGGAGGCACTGGGGATGTGGCAGGGGTCACATGGGGATGAATGTAATGAAAAGGTGTCCTTAAACCATGCCAAGGAGGTCAGAGGGGAGCCAAGCACTGGTGAGTTAGACAGTGGCAAGGGAAGTCGATGCCTCTTGAGATTCCCAGCAGTGACCACACAAGCTTCCATGGGACCCACTCAGACACAGACCTGGATGCAAGGGGAAGCCCTGGCCTTGGGAGGGTGGGTTTGGGTAGCACCTCCTATCTGGGCACAGTGGCAGGAGAGCAAAGCCTCTTCACACCCTTTCTCACTGGGAATCTAACTGCAAGTGAGACTCAGGAGGATGTGGGTTTAGACAGCCGCCTCTCTGAGGCTTCCCTGGCATGTGGAAGAGATCTGTTCCCGGGCTGAGGCAGCCGGAGCCTGAGCCTGCAGGTGGAAGACCAGCTGCCCCGCCTGAGTGTGCTGACCCCATCTTTCTGCGACCTGCTTCTTCCCTAACCTAGATACTGGCCATGGGGTATCCTAATGTCTCCTACAGCCTGACAAAAGCTCAGGGAATAACTAGTCATTGGCAAGTTGACTTGGCAAGGAGCTCCTTACTTTATCCATGTCTTCCCAAGAGCCTGGCTCTCTAGAAACAAGGGGTGGGAGGTGTGAAGAACAACAGCGAGGGGGAGAGGAAAGAGAAGCGCATATTGGTCAGATATTACATTCAAAGTGACTGATCCAGTTACCTCCAACTCTGTTCACTTGGGGCTGGGTGTCCCTAGTACTGGGAAGAGCCTAACAGTCCCCGTGTGTAGCTAGCACCATATGGGTGAGGACAACCGCTAAGGCCCTGGGGGTACCGGTCCAGAGGGTCTCAGAGAGACTGTCTTCAGACAGTTCTGCTCCTTGACAACCTTGTTCCTACTATTCATAATAGTAAGTGTTTTCTCTCTCTCTCTCTCTCTCTCTCTCTCTCTCTCTCTCTCTGTGTGTGTGTGTGTGTGTGTGTGTGTGTATGTGTGTGTAACACCACTACCGACCTATAGAAATTTAAAAGCAAATAAATGAAAGCCTTGGGTACAAACCAAGAACGTAATGTGTGCCCAGTGGATATAGGTATGGATGTTCACAAGCATGGAGCACTTTGCAAAACTTAAAATTATAGCCAAACCTTTATTCATAAATATACACCCACACCCACCCCACCACACACACGTGTAATGACACATATTCAGATTAGTGTGTGTGGTTAACCAGAGGAAACAGCAAGAAGGGTGAGGGTGCAAATAACAGCCAGGGAGACCCCATAACGCATTATTAGCTGCAGGAAAACATTAATTAGACCGAAGTCTGAGAACCTCCCTTCCATCATGCACAAAAGTAAAGAAACAGACATTCCAAGGAACACGATGGTGGTCTGAAAGCCGGGGGCCACCCTGGTCTGGTAGTTCAGGTGTGGTGGGAAGCTGTTCCTTCAGCTCACTATCAGAGCGGTCCTGCCGACCAGCCTGGCCTGCCACACTCAGCTCTGATGCTACAGGGGACTGAGGAAGGACGGTGAAAGCGGGGCGGACTACCTTTTCTCCTGCAGGGCATGAGCAGTTGATGGTCTTCAGAAACCCGATCTGTTCGCTACCAGGCGTGGGCAGCTGTGGAGGTGCAGGCGGAGGCTCTGTCACCACGGTCACCTGACACTGAAAGGAAAGGTCAAGGGGTCAGAATCTGCCACCCCCTGGTGAGGAGCATGAGGTCTGGAACTGAAGGAAGGAGGCAGGGAAAGGAAACCAAAAAGCACCCAAGGGCACACGAGTGGACAGAACACATCTAACAGGGCTCTGCTCTCCTGAGGCCTTCAAGTGGACAGGCTAGGCAGTCAAGCTCTAGACAGTGACCAGTTTAGCAACCTAGAAGAACCACTGAACCACCCTGGTAGCATGGCTCACCATGTAGAATGGAGACAAGGGTGGGTCCCTTATCATCTTCTGAGACGGGGTAAATGAGACCACTGAGGGAGACGTCCATCTTACTGTCTCTTACCTACACACTCCATAGCCTGACCCTCCTCCTTCTGCCCTCCCTAAAATCTCAGCTTCTTTTGCCCCCTTTTTCCTTCCTTCTCCTCCTCTCTACCCACACTTATGTCAAGGTGTCTCCAGATCCCCAGCCCCTGCACACTGTAGGAGTGCTAAGAAGAGCACAGTAATGAAGGCCTTTCTGGGTCCCCGAGCCTGGCCCACCCTGGGAAACAGGTTCCATTCCAATCCCACATTTCAAGCATATCTTGGAAGCAGGATTTGGTAGAAAAATATGGAGAAAATGGGAATATAAGGAGTGGGTGATGAGGCCTAAGGGGTGCAGACCCTGCATTTAAAGGCCTAGTGGGTTCAATCCTCATCTCGGGGGCCATTAGTGTTCTGAGTGCTACATTGCTGCCTATCCCAAAGCACTGTAGTTTCCCCTCCCGTGGGCACGGAATTCATCAGCCCATTGCCATCTCGGGGCACCCTCCAACCTCTGCCTTCCACACTTCCCCAAAGCTGGGGCACGGCTGGAAGCTTTGGGTCACCCTGACTGAGGCTCTGATTAATGTGATTTTCCCCAAACTCATGCTCTGTGTGAATGGTTACAAGTAAAACATGAACCTAGAACCCCCCCACACACACACGCTGGTGGCCAGTGCCGCCCTGGGATCAACTGCTAATTCCCAAACCCTGAACACTCAAGTCCCATACGCCATATACATCTCCAGCCCAGTCTGCATGTAAGCTCACCGGACCGGATGGGATATCGCAGCAAGTCTCCAATTCCGCATGCCTTGAGTCACAGTAGATCACAATCCGCTGCAGGTCAAACTGCAAAGGAACAGGAGGAAAGAAGAAAGAACTGAAATCTCCCTGGTATGAGACAGTCCACTTGCTCTTGGGATCTTTCCCACCCTGTGCTGCTCTGGTGGGCTGGGCCACATGGGGAGACTCTGCATTGTCTGTGTACCCAAATGCCATCTAGAGAAAGTCCCCTTGCATGGGAGGCCCATGCTCGCTTGCACTGTAGAGAAATCATGGCCTTAGCCCCAGCTACACACACAGGCTCACCCACGCCTATCTGTTCACCACCACTGCAGGCAACATAGCACATAGATGATGAGACAGTTTCCAGACGGAAAACTCCGTGTGTCCCTATTCTCATGCTTTGGAGGCATCTCCACACAGTAGCTTACATGAACCTTTGAGATAAATACCCACTATCCATTTCACCTTTAATACCCTCTACCTAGTCTTAAAAACTTAAAACAGAAAGATCTCGATATTTAGGAATGATAGTGAAACATGCACACATGTGTACACACACACACACACACACACACACACACACACACACAGGCACACACACACTCCAGCCTGTGAACATGGCAGCAAGCTGTAGAGTGACTGCAGACCTGACAACTGTCTGCTTTCTGGGTCCCAGGCTCTTGCAGCCAGAGACTGCTATGCAGAAACCTTGCCTTGAGCTCAGGCTGAGATTATTGGATGTCACATGGTCAATGCAATTCAAAAACCAAGGCCGCTGCCTGGGCTCAGTTCATCCACCACCCACCCTGCTCTCTAGTCGCTCCCTTTTCTGGACTGACCTGGGTCTCTCCACACGCTAAACCCTTTCCCATGCACTCACCCCCTCAGAGTCCCACTACCCAGGAGACTCCTCCCGCCCACTGTTGACAGGCAGACTGCTCTCAGCTCCCATCTTCCTCTTGCTGGCCAGGCTCATGCTCCACCCCTCACCATTCATCCTCACAACAGGACCCGCCATGCAGCGCCACTGTGTTCCTCTGCTCTCCAGCACCTATTTCCTCTGCCACAACAAAATCTCTGGGGGACAAGGCTCTGCTCTCTCTTGCCCCCAGCTCTCGAGCAGCCCCTGACACAAGACAGATGTGGTCCAGGCAGATCCTCAACGGACGAAAGAACCTTTAACAAACAGAACTGGTGGGTGAGGGGCTCTGCCTGTGTGGGGTTCCCCAGACTTCTGCTTCTACCAGGAGTTCTTCAAAGCACACCCCATCATGCCACCTGATTCTCAACTGAAGGACAAGAAGATCTATGCATGTCTATCTCACTTCCTGTTGAGACACCAATCCAGACCAGAAGAAAATGAAAGACTGCGTATTCTCGATTTTGAGCAATGCGGGTCTTTAGGAGGCGGTCTGCTTTCTACATTAGCCGTGATCCACTGACCACAGCTGGGCCAACAGACAACGCTATAGAGCTGAGGTTGGGAGGAACCCCAAACTCCCACAACTGCCTTTGATCTGTGTTACTTTGTTACCTTAACCCTCCCCACCCACTGTCTGCCCAAGTCCCAAAATCTCCACTCGTTTTATCCTTCTGGGCCTCATTCCTGTCTGAGAGCCAAACTCGGGTTCAATCTACAGCAGCTGCGGGCTGAACTATCTCCTGGGTCAGCTCCCAGTCTCCCACTGTATCCCACACACAGGCGCTTCTGAATGGCGCTTTGGGAACTCTGGTGTGGAAACAGATTGGGAAGAGCTGAAAGCGTGAGTTGGGCCCTACCATGCTGAGTCTAAGGTTCAGCTGTCATGACGTCACATCAATTCTCCTATCCTCCATTTGCCTTTCAATGATATGGTCTCACAGAGCTACAGAGGGAACTGAGGGGCTCACAGGATACAAGGCCTGTCCCGCATCAAGCCTCGATAAGCTGAGGCCTCTTCCCACTGTATCTAAGGCCCCAAACCATAGAGCCACAAGTATTCTAGCTCCTGCTGTGGGAAGGATATAAAATACTGACTCTTCCTCCAAGAATTTAACCTAGAAACCCAGCTAAGGATGAACGGCTGAAGCCCCCAGATTCCTTGGGATTTGACACCAACAAAGCTTTCTCATTGATAGCAGGAAATAGGGGAATGAGAGGATCCTCCCACTTAAGGAACCAGTCCAAGTTCCAAGTGAAAGAGACACTGAGCTCCTTGTGGACTTACAATGTGGAGTGAGTCCTTCCATCTCTGTGCCTGCCTTTGCCTCCTAAGCGGGACTAAGGGACATCACAGTGCTGCAGTGTTGCACCGAGTGAGGCGCTCAGAGCTGACAGCAACCACACAAGGGTGCACTGCCCAGAGGCCACCAGAGTCTCTACCTGATGCATAAACCGAAGTGGAAGGGCCACAGACACTGCCTGACACTGGAGCACTGAGCTCTCTCTGGTTCTTTGCTTAAAAAACGGGGCCATAGCTATATACAAAATTGGCTGGTGTCACAGCAGAGACATGAACAGCCTAACAATGTTCCTGAGGCTGGGCCCTTCCAAGGAGGAAGATCACCTGTGCTTGCATTTCTCGGAGCCACGTTAGAGCAACTGAGCCCGATGTGGGGCCAGTGGAAACTGGTCAAAGGTCAAGGTTCATGGAAGAGTGGATCCCTGGGTTTCTCAGTCCATGGACACCTATGCTGAGACTCTGGAGAGAGGCAGAGATCTGAGGGAAACAGGGCAGGGGAAGAGAAGCCTGGGGGCCTGTGGGAAGGACAGAGTAAAGAGCTTCCGCGCCTCAGGGTCCTCCAGCAGATACCACCCTCGGAGCCCAGGAACAACGCTCTCTGTTCCCTCCACGGGTCTGACACTACCAACTCACAGGCACCAGCTCACTATTTTAGCAGCTGACTCAGGAACCTCACTGTATTCCAGCTCCACACCCACTTGCTGCCCCTGCACACTGACCCAGCTACGACCCCTGCCTCTCCATTCTTTCCCCTCAGATGCTTCCTTCCCAAGTGTCCTCATCTTCCCATGGAACTCTCTCTGCCACAAGCAGAGGCTGCTCGGGCACAGCACTTGCCCACTTTAGTTTTTTTTGGCCAGTGTCACCTGCCGGCCGACTTCCAGGATAGATCCAGCATGCCTTGGATTTGTTTCATAACTATCTCTTGTACCTGGTGTTTTAAGCCCCTCCCCTCTGGCAATGCAGCTCACAAGAGACACACTCTGCCTTGTAGCCTTTATCCTCTATGCCTAAATTAACTTCCTCTAGGAAGCCACGCCACACACCTCTTGTAGCTACCAAGGTTTTTCCCTTCTCCTGGCGATTCTCAGGGCCCTGTGACCTCCGGCTCCCTGGAGACTCTGCACTAGCTCTGGCTTGAGGGGATAACTTAGCAAGAACCTGGTTCTCTTTGTTATGGTGATTCCACTTGTATTCAAGGTCTTAGCAGTGGGCCTATAGCCTGCCTCCCCTAGCTGACCCTGCCCGAGGGGCCAGGAAGCTTTAATCTTCTCCTCCTGCTCCTGGATGGGAGGAGGCCTTGCATTTTCGATCCCTCTAGCCCACTGGTATATATACCCGACTTGAGTTTAATAAAGTGGCCATTTACTCTGGTAAATGAGCAAAGGTCTCTTTTGTGTGTGTCTCTTTTTC